TTCTTCTTCTTCTTCTTCTTCTTCTTCTTCTTCTTCTTCTATTTTCTTCTTCTATCTTCTTCTTGGCGAGGCTTGCAAGCACATGGGGCTTCGGGGTCATATGTGTAAATTGTTGTTGTTGTTGTTGTTGTTCTTCTTCTTCCACCAATTGGCGAGGCTTGCAAGCAGATGGGGCTTCGGGGTCATATGCGTAAATTGTTATATGCGTAAATTGTTCTCGGGCTTTGCACTATCTTATTCCTCAGACTTATGTTATATGAATCATATGACCATTCTCGTGTTTTATTTGCCTAATTTCCTTTTGCAGCCTGGATTGCGAAATCCCTCACAAGGTTGTCGCTACGGGATTGCTTCATATTTGACGTCGGGGTTTCTGCGGTTTTTCGCTCCGTGGCATCATTTCAGAGGCTGCGGGAACTCGATTTATCAGGCATCAAGCACCTGACAGAGTGTCTGTGTGCACGTCTGTGTCCGAAGCAACTACGCTTCTGTTTCCTCTGTTATCCGACAAAGTTTTCACAGGCGTGGAGCAAAGAGAAGGCGGGAGGTTGGTACGCAGACTGGCAGAGCCTGCGGCGGCAGAACAAGAAGGAGGGTGCCCTCCATGGCCAGCAGGGGTTGTCAAGTGAGGGGCTGCGTATCTCACATTCACTCGACGATTGCCCACAGACGGCCATGGGATCTGCAGCAAGCTATGGCACCTGTGGTGGCGGCGATACTCACGCCGAACAGCGTGGACTCGGAAGCTTGACCGGGGTGGCCTGGCATTCCCCATCTGCTGTTGCACATAACCAAACTGGAGCTTGGAGGAACACAGGGGACTCCTGCAGTCACGTTGTCGATAACTCAGTGTCATCACCGGTTCTTGCCGACCTATCGACCAATGAGCCTGGCGACGACCAAGTACACAGAGGCTCTGGCAACTCTGCTGTTGTGGAGGGCAGCCGCCACCAGCAGAGAGACGCTGAGAACTCTGCTCTTGCGGAGAGAAGCCTGGCACATCGAGTCACTGCAAACTCTGCTCTTGTAGAGGGCGAGGAAGCGCGTGGCCTTTCTGTGAGCGAGGAGGCAGTTGGTTGTTCCAGTAATGGCGGCTGTGCGACCAGCAGCCAATCTGATGCCTCTCTTGCAGCAGGGTCGGGTGGCTCATTGACGTGCTTGGATCTATCGGGTAGCAAAGTCCTCTCTTGCAAAACAGTTCAGTTCCTGGCTGGGCATTATCCAGGCTTGGTCCATCTTTCCCTGGCTGGTTGCCAGGGGATGTCTGCGGAGGTACTCAGAGAGTGTGGTTGCCTGTGGCAGAACCTAAAGACCCTATCTTTGGCAGGTGTGATTGAGCTTTCAGTGGACAGAGAAGCAGTGCACGAAGCCGTGATGTCAATGGCATGTTGCAGCGGCACCTCTCTTGAATCGTTATCATTGGACGGGGTAGGAAAAACAGGACACTCCCGTCTTCGTGTGTGGTATTCATCTTTCTTAGTCTATTCAAGTTTCTATCGTATAGCAGCACTGCTGGAAAGTAACTATTGATGAACTGTAGAGTATTCGGCATTTGGCTGCTTTTGGCATCTGGTTATTTTTATTTTACCCTGCTCTCTGTTTATTTAATCCTGCTGTGTATTTTCTATTTACTATTTATAATTTTATACTAATTTATAGTAGCTTTATGCAAGCCTGCTGTGTATTTGTTTAACCTGGGCCTGGTGTAGCTGTGTATATTATTTTGTCCTCGTGTAGATTTAATATTTAAACAACCCTGCTGTGTGTTTATTTAATCCTGGAGCGTATTTATACAACCCTACTTTGTGTGTTGTTTAGCCCTGGTGTATACTTATGTAACCCTGCTGTGTATATATTTAACGGAATTTTTAATTTAACCATTTGGGAGTGCGAGTATGTGCTTCAGGCATTGTGAGATGGCCTTGATGTTCGATTGCTCGTATTGCAGTTGGCTTGCTCGTAACTAGCTCTACATTGTTTATTTCTCAGTTTGTGTTAAAATTGGAACGATACACAGAAGATTGGCATGGCCCTGTGCAAGGATGACACACATAAATCGAGAAATGGTCCAAATTAAAAACAAAAAAGCTTGAAAAAACTTCAAAAAAGAGCTCAGGTCAACTTATTGTCCCCACCAATCAGCTGTCGGTGAATGTTTTGGCTACGAAAAAGATTAGACTTATTTCATCTGTCATATGTGCGACGTGCGTACATAAAGAGGTGAGTTGTAAGGAGGCTGAAGGTCCATTTGCACTCGTGGAAAAGGCGACCGTTAACCACTTGTGCGACGTGGTAAGTGGCTTCAGCCTTGGTCTCGTGTGAGCAATGGTCGCAACTTCTCGTAAATCTGTTTGGCCAACGCTGGCAAGTCTATCATGGAGTGATTGCTTTGGAATCTCTGGACGCGCCTTTCAATGACATCCTTTATTTCCAAAGTGAGAGGTTCTTGTGATTTGTTTAGCCTGGGATGAGAGGAAGATAGGAGTGGAAGCAATTTCTCGGGTGATGGCTTCTGGAGGCCCTGACAAGTCTTTTCCGGTGTGACAAATCCTTTTTGTTTGTAGTTTGACCAGTTCGATGATATAATTTTTGACAATTTTTTGTGCGTTTCAGTATTAACAGTTCGAATCCAGATACGATCAGATGACCAAATAAAATAATTCTGAATGACCTGGGGCGGTCAGTTCAATGGCAATATCTTGAGGCCGCTGCCCTCTTTTTTTTTCTAATGAAAAACATACAGCTGTCTTCGCCTCATATGGGGGACAGTTGTATTTTTTACTACCCTACTTTCTTCTCTCAATACATCTCATACTAGCTACCCATATCTATGTCCTACCCACAAACCCAACGAAGCAGCCTGGAATAATGACCAACTGAACTAGAGCCACCTATGGACGACAGACCGCATGTGGGAGATCGGGGTGACTAAGTAACAGGGAGGAATACTTACCACCACATAACATATCTATTGGCTAATACTAAGCTACCTCTACAGTTATGGGTGGAGCCTATCCCCTCGGGGTTGAGTGTACTCTGGTGTGTGTGGGGAGCAGTACCCAGGCTCCTAACCCCTAGCCGTAGATGAGGGTGGAAGGAATACCCCCCAAGACCGAGTAGGGGGGGGCGAGCGAACCATCTCAGCTGGTGAACCAGTAGTGCGCCTCAGGAGGCCGCGGGAAGTCGAAAGGATGCCGTGCCGTGGGGAATCGAACCCATGACCTCCTGAATACCTCTTACGCGCTCAACCAACTGAGCTAGCCGCTGGCCCTCTGTTGCCCTTTTTTTTTTAAAAAAGGAAGGAAAAAAAGAAAAAAAAAGTGTGTTTCAGGGACAGGAAGTGCTGAAATGGATCTCATAAGTGATGCTTTCGTGAGCTGGTCTCAAGCGCCTAGCATTATTGTTTTGAACGGGGTTTCAACTGTTGATCTGGTCATCAGCAGCTATGCATGTGTACCGCCTTTGAGGCACCAGGCAGGGACTTGGCAATACCCCTGGACTAAACTGGGCACACACGTTAATCTTGGACCCTTGGTCCTTATAGAGTTATCTAGTCAAGATTTAAACTCTTCACCGTTGGATCAATCATCCTGGGCGGCTGCCAGTCAGTGACGTCTCTGCTGCAGTTGGAGATGAGTTGGAGGACTAAACTTTTGTATTTCTCGGAAGTTTGTCCTTCCGTTTTCTCCTTTTTCCTTTTGTTAAACCACCAGTACCTGGACGTTTTTAGGCCGTTAACGCGGTGGCTGAATCAGTGCGCCGCGCAGGTCCATATGCATTTGCCTCAGAGCCTCCCCAGGGGGGTCCCAAGACCCCCTGGGGTACTGGTGGTTTAAACCACCAGCACATGGGCCCAGGCAACTGGAGAACCTCGTTTTGAACCTCTCCAAAAATTTAGGAGGCCGAGACGGCCTTGAGATATCATCATTCAACTGACTGGCCCCAGATATTAATTCAGCATGATTTTTGCTGTGGTCGTCTGATTGTATCTGGATTCGAACTTGGGTCGGTATTTCAACAGTTTGTAGGAACTTACTAGGAAGTCTTTTCAAACTTTGTCCTTCATTGTTGTGAGCTTCTATCTGGATTCGAACTTGGGTCGGTATAGAGCCCGCTGTACGAAGTGCAGCCCTCGACTTCTGGGATCAACCGTGATGAGAATGTCCAGCAGGGCGGCAGGCCATGGTGTAGGCTTGTTCGAGTCGAGTAGTGAGGGTTGGTAGAGGCCCGGGATGAACTCAAAGCCCTTCTGCTATGTTTGCTCCTGTCAGAAAACTTCTAGCAGTTCCAGAGGGAGGGGGGGGGGGGGGGGGAAGAAAGGGGATTCTCTTGGCTGACTGAAAATAATGTGCCGTGTTTTTTTTTTTTTTTTTTTTTTTTTTCCCCAGCAAGATCATGAGCGAGATGAAATGGAAGGACTGGTAGAGCGAATACGCTCTTGTTATATAATTTATCTCGTGATATTAAAGCTTCAAAACTACGTTGTTATTACACTATCTCATGATATCTTGGGATGAGACACTGTGACTGTAGGCTCCAGTGTGAATTCTTTTGGCTGGCTGAAAATGATGTCGCATTTTGTTAACGAAATAAAGCTCGAGTTATCTGTCCGTACGTGTAATGTGGATGAGAGATTTCTGAAAATAGAAAATTCTTTTTTCTTTTTTTTTATTCTTTTTTTTTTCTTTTTTTTTTTGGGGGGGGGGAGTAGGATTTCTGAAAATTCTGATCCTTCGTGGTGATGTGTTTCCTTGTTATGACTTCCCTCTTGTGCGGTAATCGTGACACAGTGTGTTGTTCATGATGAGATGGCATCGGTGATATCCCGGATGTGTACTCGTCTCAGGTCGCTCTCCGTCGTTGGCTGTATGGGCTTTGGTGACGAAGGCCTTGCGGCAGTCGCAAAGCATTGCAAGGAGCTGAAGTCACTGGCGCTCGGTGTCCCATCAATGTGGCAAAATAAAAGCCTGGCATACTTCTCGGGCCTTGAGGCGCTCACTATCACTAACCGAAGCACGCTATTGAACGGCAAGTGCGTCTTAGGACCTTCGTTGATCCCTATTTTACTGCTTGGACATGGATGGCCTGGATTTCAGTCTTGTTCTGATCGAAAAAAGGGGAATATAAAAAGTATTTGAACCAGTGCTTTTTGCTCCATTGCTCACCAAATCTCAAAACGATAAACATGAGTGTATGTTTCCAGCTCCTAGCTGAAGATGTACTTTCTGTTTTACACATTCGGTGAGTAGTGCAGCGATGCCCTCTGTTGGATGTTTGGCGGAGAATATCAATGCCAAGAGAGTTGGGGAAGGAGGAGATCTTGCACCTCGATCATGTCATTGATGGGTCTGGTGTTGGGCCGGAAGCAAAGAAGGTCGAGGTTGTTCAAGTATGCAAGCTATCTTCCTTTTCACGCGCATTCGTGATGCAGGGGAAGACGGTAGAAGCATACAGCTGAGGAGATTTGACTGAAAGTCCGTGAGAGAGGAATTTACTCTCCAGCCTTGGCTGGTCTCCACAGCAGACAAATAGTTACAGCTGCCTCTGTTGGAGCCTTTCCAGTTCAAGATCAGATGGTTTGGATGAAGTTTACTTCACTACTACCGTCTTCACCCGAAAATAACGCCCGGGCGTTATATTCGACTTACCAGTCTTACCCTAAGAAAAAAAAAAAAAAAAAAAAAAAAAAAACAGATTTTGTTTTTACTCTTTTTTTTCTTTCCGAATAGAACGCACGCCCCTTCGAATAGAACGCCCGGGCGTTATATTCGAATAGAATGCGCTTACCCTAAAAAACCCAGATTTTTGAATTTTTCAATCATTTTTGTTTGTACTTTTTTTTTCCGAATAAAACACCCCTTCGAATAGAACGGCCGGGTGTTATATTCGAATAGAATGCCTGGGCGCTATATTTGGATGTGCCAGGCAGAGTGCTTTGTAGAGGGATTATACATGGGTCTTAAATAGTGGGAAGGGGGGGGTATACATGGGTTTTAAGGGCCCGGGTTTGAAAGGGGTTTCGACTTCTAAGGGGTATGTTTTGTTTTTTTTTGGGGGTTTTGTTTTGTTTTTTTGTTGAAGGCCATGTGTGGACTGCAAGGGTGGCGGTAAGAGCATCCCATCTTTGCAGATTTGTTTCCTTTATTAATTTCCGAATTTATGAGGAATCCTGAAGTGACCCTCAGCCAAAAGTTGGTTGCATAGCGATTCTAGAGAACTCTTTTTTTTTACAGAAGTTGCCCCTGGCGTTATAACTTATAAACGAATATAATGCCCTCCGGGCGTGGGTTATATTCGTATACAACGCCCTCCGGGCGTTGTTTTCGGGTGAAGACGGGAGTGTATATCCAGACACCATACTGCTCATAGTACATTGTCAAAAACTTAATAAAAAGGCTCATGTCCTGGTAAATGACAATACCAGATCACAATTTTGTTTTTGGTTCCCTGACTGACTTCGTGCACTTAATAGACCATAGAGGCATCACGAATGCGCAGAAGTAGATGCCATGGCAATCACATCTTCCATGGTTCAGATAGGCATCATAGGCTTTCCCTTGGAACAGTGTTTGGGAAGTTGGGGATTTTTTTTTGTTTTTCTTGTTGTTTTTTTTTATAACACAAGCCTCCTTCTATTCGGGGGAGCAGCAGTCCGACTCCTTTTCCACCGGCAAGTCAGAAGAGTACAAATTTTATTCGCACAACGCTCCTTCCCAATATGGTTGCGAGGTCCGAGTGGACGGCATTGAGTACTGCCCTTGAGAAGGAAGTGGGGGATTAATTGATTGACATAGCAGTTTTTGTAGGATTTTGTGGAGATGAGCGGGGGCAAGGAGTGAGCAAGAACTGACTTTTCGTTTAATTTGCAATATTTTGTTCGCGTGACGAGATCGAACAAGGATTTTTTTTTATTTTTTTTTTGCCTCTTTTTGTATGTTTTTCAACTATTTTTGTCAAATTTGATGCTGATAACTTAGTGTTAATGCATACCGCCTGCAATCAAGGAACCCAAGCATCTGGAAGGGTCAAGACTCAAAAGTGACAAAAACAAAAATTGAAAAAGTCCTTGTTCGATTTCGTGGCGCGAGCAAAATGTATCAAATTTAACAAAAAGTCGGGGAAAATGTGGACTGAGTGGACCAGGGGAAGTGGGAAGAGAGGATTGGGGAGAAAGATCTGGAGGAGAGAAGGCATCAGGTTTTCCGTAAACGCGCAAAATTTGTCTTATTGCTTGGCTGTGCATCGTATGTACGCGAGACGATTAACGTTGTGATGTCTAACAGCTGAGCCGTGTACCGAATAATCAGGTGAACTGGAAGCCATTTTGGCGAATTGCCCCGGGATGACCTTTCTTTCTCTCAGAGGATGCTCCTCAATCACAGAGGACGGCATTGCTGCTATTGCTGATTGCTGCCCTCTTCTCGAAACCGTCTTCCTCGACAGTTGTGACAAGGTAAGGTATGTTGTTGAACTATATTCCCACTTTTTTCTAAATGTATGATTTTTGGGGGGGAAGGTTGGGGTCAATTTTTACAAAATTGAGGTTTACGAATCTGAAATCTCGAATTTCATATGCGAGGAATCTTTAATCTGTGAATCTGCAACTGTACTGAATCTGAAATTTGCGAGTCTGAGTCGATTCTAAAATGCATCCTAATTTTCGTATTCGCGATGCGTATGTCATCCACAACTTACCATTTGTCTGAATTGTAATGACCCGCCCAAAACACAGACTGAGAACRCTGCTGATTTCTGGGATTTGTCAATGGAATGAATGCCTTGCTGTGATTCCCGCATTCTGCTGTGGTCCCAAGTTTGTGTGTGTGCGTGCCTGCTGGTTTGCATGCCTGTCTGAGTGCTTGCCGGTTGTGTGTGNTGCTGTGATTCCCGCATTCTGCTGTGGTCCCAAGTTTGTGTGTGTGCGTGCCTGCTGGTTTGCATGCCTGTCTGAGTGCTTGCCGGTTGTGTGTGTGTGCGTGCCTGCTGGGTTGCATGCCTGTCTGAGTGCTTGCTGGTTGGGTATGTGYGTGACCCGCCAGGGTACTTGTTGGTTGCAAGGCCCACCGGGCCGGTACTTACCTGTGGCCGTGACTTTGAAGGGTTGCAGGGGGGTAAACATGCCGGTAGCGGGGAGTAGGCCCACGGCACTTAGAGCAGCTGGGGAAAAACACTCAAGTAGCAGGTAGGCCGAGCAGAAGAAGACAAAAAGTTGGCATTTTTAGAGGCCCAGTAGCGGTAGGTTAGAGGTAGGCCGGTACCAGTCCAAGTAGCCCGGGTCTAGGGCCTGTGCGGACAATAACAGAGCCTGCAAAGATGTTTCCCTCCAAAAGGGAGGAGGTACCCGTTGCTGGGAGGCCGCTTGGCCTAGGAAGTCACCGCCCAGGAGGCCGGTAGGCCGCTATATCTTCAGGAGGAGCGGTGAGCTCTTCCTCATTTGCGGTATGCAAGGATTGGCGACATGCTGCTGGAGCGCAGCGCTGCTTGGAGGTGAAGGTCCGCTGCGGCTCAGCCTGGCTATGGCGAGCACCCCAGCTTGAGGAGGAGGAAGAAGGGGGCATTGTAGGAGAGTGGTAGGGCACTCACCTGGCTATGGTGGACACCGTCTTCATCACCTTGTTGGGTGCTGCATCTGGAAGGCCCCAGTTGGGGTAGCGCTGCACCAGGGCAGCTCGAGGCAGAGGCAGGCATAGCGGACCAAGTCAAGCAGCGGCATAGCTGCTTTGGGTTGTCTACTGGACATCAGGGCAGCACCATAGCTGCCACCTAGTAGTCCGCCATGGCCTATGCATGAGAGAGGAGGTTGAAGGAGGGAAGACATAGCCATGGTGGACTTGTTGCTGTTGTTGTTGGGTTGTGAGTTGAGTCAGCAGTAAGGGGGAACTTCGGACATTGATTCTGGTTCATCCATTCATTGTTATTATTATTATTAAGAGAAGAATAAGATTGGCGAGAGGAGGAGGAAGGAGGAAGGTGGAGAGCAGAAGGGGGAATTGTCATTGGTCTTGCTGGTGTACTTCTTCTTCTTCTTCTTCTTCTTCTTCTTCTTCTTCTTCTTCTTCTTTACCTATCCGCTGGTCTTTATCTCTTTGCAAGTGCTTTCATTTCTTTCGCAATTGGGTGGCATTGTATTTCATTGTGAATTTGCACTTGGGAAATGACCAGGATCGTAACAGAATGCTTTTTTTGCATCCCAATGAAAACCTTCAGAGATACGCCCCCCAAAAAAAAGAGAAAGAAAACACATCATAGTGAAAAGTTGAAAACCAATCTACTGTTCTAGTAGTTTTATGTGGAGGACCACTGGCAAGGTGCTCCAAAGCATTCGCCTGTATGCTTGGAGGCTGGGGGAACGATTGGCCGAGGAAGTGCACACAATTTCAACGACCACAACTTCGGTGATTTTTATTTCTGTTTTCTGCTGACAAGAAATTCCTGGTCGGGTCCCACTGTACGAGGGGAAGAAAATGAAGGGCGGGAGATTGTGCGCAAAACAAAATTCGATGAGAACGGAATGCGTATGTGGATTTGAGTCGTTGTGACCTGGTTTAGGGTCAATGTTCCATGTCGGGCAGGCGAGGGCCGCCAAAAAGTTTGGGTTAGATGTAATAGGCTCAAAGAGACTGGTGGTCTAAGAGAAAGAGATTAAAAAGAGGGGAGGGGGGGGGGGGGGGGGGGGGGGAGGGGGGGAGAAGGGAGGGGTTTTGGGGCGGCGCGGAGGGGCAGTCGTAAGATGGATGCAATTGTGCATGCAGAGGCCACACTTTTTCAGTATTGGTCCTCCTGCATCTATGCACCCGGTCTGACGCATTAATTATGTCAGAACCCAAGGAGGCTGACAAGCCCAAATTGGTGGTGCACGTTGTGGTCCTTGACTGATGCAGAGTCTGTTGATGTCTGGTTGTGAAGACATCACTGGCTGGCGTACTTGATCTAGGTGGTTGGCGAAGGTCACAAGAAGGGTAAATTATTACTTTGTGTGAATCTCCGTGGTCAGAGTCTGGTGTGATATACTTCTTTCCGTTGTGATTCCCCTCTTGCACGAGTTCAAGTGGCAGTGTTTGTGGAAATGAAGATCCATTGACAATACTCGAAGGTATGTTTGAGTTTCGTCCCACAAGTTCGGCCTAACTGGCCTTTACATCCGCAGCTCCGGGGGCTCTACTGGACCAAAATGGCTGGTGCCGCTAGCCAAGAAGAAAAGAAATTGCACCCGTGCTGCTTCGTTTTTTTTGGTGGCGCACAATACGATTTTGCATCATAAAACAGAGCCTCAGATGTAGTGGTGGCTTAAGAGCGGCCAGCAGGGAACACCTGCGCTGGAGACGGGCCTTGAGGCAGCCCAACAGCATGGCCTAGAGGAGGCCTTGGGCAGCTGCTAGAAGGTGAGAGCTAGAGAACCTCGGGACTGGCAAGGTTTGGCATTTCCAGCATGGGTACAAAAGTGGATTAGACCAGAGAGATTTGATGCAGTGGTACGGATATCTGTAGGCTCCGACAGAAATAAGTACACTGCCCTGCGGCTCGATCGAGCAGCGAACAATGAAAGGCAGAGAACAAGAATCTCCCTTCCCACAGCCCCTGTCCYCCCCCCCCCCCCTGCCCCCCCCCGCCTTCTCCACCACACACAGATGTGAGTGCTGGCAATGAGGGGGAATGCTCGGACATGATTCCTGTTCATTCATTCATTCATTTGTTGTTTTTAATTCATTCATTAGAGGGGGGAGACATGGGTTTCGACTTGTGTATTTCTTCTTCTTCGAAGGATGACTTTCGTATATTATTCCTAACATATCATAAGATTCTCTTTCTTGAAAGTTAGCAGTTTTCCAAACCCAAAATACTGAAGCTAATTTTGCATGCAATCTCGGTACTAGTACCTTAATACATATTTCTTGAGGCTGATCTGCTTCTTCTTCTATCCCTCTTCGTTTTACTCCGCTCTTTATCTCTTTCCGCTTCTTCTTTTGAGTTCCGCAAATCTTGTTTGCATTTCCTCACATTTGACTTTTTTGCATTATGGATGGAGTAGGAATCTGTAGGATCACAACAGGTTGTTCTGGTGAACTCACCATGACAGAACCCTTTTTGTGTGTGTATGTGTCCTACTCCAGCGTCACAATGAGTCAGTGAGTCTGACAAAACAGATGGATTCTCACACCTACACACAAAAAAAGAGGCTGCTTCATGACAGAACTCACTGACGCATTGGGACGCTGAACCCTTCACAATCTGCAGAATCCATCCACTGTGAATTCTAGGCGGTCTACTTAGTTAGTACTCACCATAGTCCCTCAGCCTGTACCCCGGGCTGGACATAGATGAAGGCATAGTCCACCTTTTTCCCTGAAATGTCTTTTTTTTATAGTATTTAATGAAGGTTTTTTTTTTGGTGACTGGTCTAGTTGTTGATCATTGCTGTGTTGATGAAGGCATGGTCCTCCTTGTCCCCTGAAATGTCTTTTTTTTTTTTTTTTAATGTTTATGATTTTTTTTTTTCTTCCCCTTTTGTAACTGTTCTGGTTGTTGATCGTTACTGTGTTCTCCTCGGGTTGGTGTCATTGTATTCATGGCCCAATCCATGGACCATTGATTCATCTTTTTCTCCTCTTTTTTTCTTTCTTTCCCTTTTGTGCTTCATCTCTCTATTGTTTTAATGGCAGATAACCGGAAGAAACATCTGTCGCCTGCCAATGTTGAGAAAACTGTCTCTACTGGAGTGTTCCTCAGTGACAGCAGGGATGCTACAAGTGTTTGCGGCTGGCTGCATTCGCCTCTCATCTCTGGTCCTTCCTTCACATATTGGCACGAGTTCGCTTCCTGTTCAGGTATGTTTGCGATTGCACAATTTTTATTGCTCAGTAACATATGACAAAACTGTGAATTTTTTTGTCGGTGCTCGTCTTTGGGTCAAATCGCCTGCATAGTCGTGCATAATGATTTGGCTTAAAGCACCAGTACATGCCAGCTATCGGCCGCAGGGCCCTTCTGGAGGCTGCCCACCGCCGATTCATTTTATCTATGGCGCTTGGCCTCCTAAATTCTCGGAGAGGCTCAAAACAGGTTTTCTCCAGCTGCCTGGGGCCATGTACTGGTGGTTTATAGAATGTCCTTTTAACTCAAAGTGGAAAAGGCCCCTGCTTAGTAGAGGACTCGAGTACCGCTGGCATGTTTTTGAGTATGGATTCTGAAACGTTTCTCTCTTTCAATTATAATAACAAGTGGACCCGCCGCAGCTACGCTGCGGCAGTGAGGGGGACCAAAGGCAGAGGCAGGGGGTATGGCGAGGGGAGAACAGGAGGAGGAGAAGATGGCAAAGCAGTAAAAGGAAGAGGGGACGGGAGGAAGGGGGGAGTGCGAAATGTTTGGTTCCAAAAAAAAAAAAAAAAAAAAAG